GGAAGTGGCGCTGTGGCTCAAATGGTAGAGTGCTAGCCTTGAGCTGAAGAGCTGAGGGACAGCGCCCAGGCCATGAGTTCAGGCCCCATGACCAGCAAACAACAACAACAAAAAAAAGTTTCTTATGTTAGTTGGTAAGGTGGCTTGTTTTGGCAATCATTAGGAACTCAGGAAGTAGAAATCAAAATTGAGTTTTGATACCAGCTCAGTCAAAGTGGTTATGAGATCCCATTTCAACCAATAGAACTGAGTACACAACTGTGATCTTGGTTACATAGGAAATATAAATAAGAGAACCACAGCTTTGGCTGGCCTGGACAAAAAGTGAGATCTACCTTAAAAACAGTCCAAGAAGGGCTGGGAAGATGGCTCAGTGGTAGAGCGCTTGCCTTGCATGCCTGAGGCCCTGGGTTCGAGTCCTCAGCACCACATAAGCAAAAAGAAAAAAGCCAGAAGTAGCGCTGTGGCTCAAGTGGTAGAGCGCTAGCCTTGAGCTGAAGAGCTGAGGGACAGTACCCAGGCCCAGAGTTCAGGAACCATGATCGAACCCAAAAAAAAAAAAAAAACCAGTCCAAGAACAGAAGACTGAAGGTATGGATGAAGTGCTAAGATGCTTGTCTAGCAAGTGGGCAGCCCCAACTGCCTCTGATGTGATATCTTGGTATTATTTTGAAAATAGTCTGAGGTGTAATTTAAATACCATAGAAGTAATCCAGGTTAAGTGGACAGTTTAATGACTTTTGGTTAATTTACAGAAAGTACAATTATCATCACATCTGATCATACTTTATTTTGGGGGGGCTTGAACTCAGGGCCTGGTTGCTAACCCTGAGCTATTTCGCTCAAAGCTAGTACTCCACCACTTTGAGCCATAGCACCACTTCCAGTTTTCTGGTGGCTAATTGGACATGAGTCATCCTGCCTAGGTTGGCTTTAAACCATGATCCTCAGATTTCAGCCTCCTGAGTAGCTAAGATTATAAGCATAAGCCATCGGTGCCCAGGCATACTTGTTTTATATATCACTACAATGTTAATTTGATTGACATTAGTACTTCAAATAAAACAGAAAATAAAAGGAAACTTACCTTCCTGGTGTACTCCTTGGCACTGTCTTATCACAATCCTACAATTAAAATGTAAGAAGGAAATTTGTGAAAGAATACTTAATATAAATATGAGTAGCTGAATTCTTAAAAAATTGGCTTCTCTTACATGGATTAATGTAAACTTAATATAGTGAATAAAATAGTATACTATTTTTAGAGGATAAGTTTTTAAGTTTGTTAATATTTTTTCTTGTCAATAACCTGCTTCATGAGTACATTCTGATCCACAGTAAATGTTAAGGAAAAGTCAATTTTTAAAAATAATGGGAATTAAAAGAGCAGAACTAGGTACCATTGGCCCATGCCTATAATCCCAGCTATTCCAGAGGTTGAGATATGAGGAGAGAGGTTCAGAGGCAGCCTGAGCAGACTCTTATGTGTCATTAGCCAATAAAAAGCCTAAAGTGGAGGTGTGGCTCAATCACTAGCTGTGAATAAAAAAGTCAAGTGAGAGTTCCAAGCCTGGAGTTCAAGCCCCAGTACCAGCACACACACAAAAGAGCAGAAAATTACAACACTCTAACATCAAAAAGCTTATAAAGTTTAGGAAATTATTTTATACAAATGAACCATATGTCTATTATTCAATTTTTATAAAACATGATAAAAATAAATATGTATGACATTGGTAGAACGCTATAGCACACACACCTGTTCCCCATCACTGTCTTCACTGCTGCTTAGTTTTAAGTCATCTTTTAACATACTAGAGGAAAAAAAGCAAAAAAGAATATTATTATTTTGGGAACAGTTTATCATGGCATGACAAAGTATTAAATATCAATAATTCTATCAATGCCCAGGCATTGATGGCTCATGTTTGTAATACTGGTGACTCAGGAGGCTGAGATCTGAGGATTGCAGGGTTCAAAGCCAGCCCAGGCAGTATAAGTCTGTGAGACTCCCAAAAATTCAGAAAGTGAAGCTGTTATTCAAGTGATAGAGTACCAACCTCCAACTTAGAGCAGAAAAAACTAAGGAAAAGTGCTCAGGCTCTGAGTTTAAGCCCCAGTACACCCAACCCACACCCATACCCACACACATCTCACCAATAATTCTAGAAATAATCACTGTTTTGGCAAATGCCAACCTGTGTGTGTGCACACAGATACATATACATATATACATACACACATAAAAGCAGTGTTACTTATCTGGTTATGAAATAAAAAACTCATAAGAATTTAACCATGTTGTCATGGTTAAGTGGTAGATCTGTCTAGCAATTGTAAGGCCCTGAGTTCAATCTGAAGTTCACACACACACACAATTTAAAGCTCTAATTCTAAAGAATTTGGAAGCTCTAAGCTTAATTATGCCTCCAATGTTCCATGAAGATTGATACAATTGTTAAATAGGTAATTGTCAGTACCTTAAGGACACAATTTCCTAAGCCAAAGTCCTACATTTATTTAATATTTATTATTATTATAAAGATGATGTATGAAGGGGTTACAGATACATAAGTCAGGTAAAGAGTACATTTCTTTTTGAACCATGTCACTTCTTTCCTCATTCTTCCCTAGTTTTTCCCTCCCTTCCCCACCCAGAACCTGTGTAGTTCATTTTCAACATAGTGTCTAGTGAATACAACTGCTCCTTTTGTTTACCCTTTATCCTTGCCCTCCCAAAGTCAGAGAAACAAACAAGACAAAAAGAAAACAAAAACAGCAACAAAGAAAAATTTTTTGTTTCCATTTCCTGTATTTCATTTTAATAAATATTATTTTATCTGATCAGATGCACATAGGCATTGTGTCCTTGTGTTCTTCTCCTAAGAGCCAACGTTCTACTTTATAAATGCCTCGTTACGAAAGACGAGTACCTTCTGTAGAAATAACAGTTTGAGGTGAGAAATTAGCAGAAATCAACTGGGACTTGAATTCTGAGCCGGGGTGCTGTACCTCAGCTTTTTTGCTCAAGGCTCGAGATGTACTATTTTGAGCCACAGTTCCACTTCTGGCTTTTTGTTTGTTTGGTAGTGGAGATCAGAGTATCACAGATTTTCCTGGCCAGGCTGGCTTGAAATGGCAATCCTCAGATCTCAGCCTCCTGTGTAGCTAGGACTGTACAAGTATAAGCCATTAGTTCCTGGCTTTTTAAATCTATTTATTTATTTATTTATTGGGTCTGGTCTCTGGGCCTGGGCGCTGTCCCTCAGCTCTTCAGCTCAAGGCTAGCGCTCTACCACTTGAGCCACACAGCCACTTCCGGCTTTTTTTTCTTTCTGCTTATGTGGTGCTGAGGAATGGAACCCAGGGCCTCATGAATGCAAGGCAAGCACTCTACCACTGAGCCACCTTCCCAGCCCCTTTAAATCAATTTTAAAAAAGGAAGAGTTTCTATAAGCTAGCAGCTTCTGTAATCTGTTTCTGAAGATAAAAATTAAATTTTATATTTTCTTTGAAGTCAGAAAAATCAAACCATTAAACTTTAAAAATCACAGTAACAAACTACAAAACACTCCTTTCTAAGAAGAGAAAAAATTAACACAAAGTTTAGGAGAGAAATGCAACTAGAAAAATATTTAATTTCTCATTATTAGTAGTTCCATTACCTTTCCTTTTAAAATTTCATCAGTCTTCAATTAGTAGGAAGGAAATCTTCTTTTACTCCAATAACTATTTGTATTTTCCCTCAAAGTTTAACCTGCATTTCTACATCTGACCCCAAATTCCAAGAAATATACAAAAGATCACCTGGAAATAAAGTAACCAGATGGATATATTATTATAAAAGGTGTTTTAAACTGGCTCAATTCAATGGGATGGAAATAAAAAAGAGTTTTCCTTTGGACAAGGGCTTAGTGCATCTGTAGGACTGATTTCCTGTAAGGAAATGAACCAACTTGTGAGTTCTCCAAGCCCTTATGATTTAATAATGGCAACTCAATGAAACTGTTTACATATGTGAATATGTCAAAGCTTTTACCAGACTGCTCCAGGTCCTCAATGCTTTTGTTCCCTCAGCAACCAAAGCAATAGGCATATATATGGTAGGTAGCATTAGTTCTTTGCATGGAAATATAATGGAAACATAGTTTGAATTTTTCAGTAGTATATGGGGAAGTATGTGTATTTACATATTTTCATTCTCAGTCCTTCTCTTTGTTCAACTAAAGAAGATACCAGTCTAGTCAGTACCGTTTGAGGCTATAGCAAAGAAAGCTGGAATTGTGGCCACTTTCTTTAGACCTTTGATATCTCCTCAGTAAGTTAATTTGTTTTTTGTTTTTTTGTTGGTCGTGGGGCTTGAACTCTAGGCTTGGGCGCTGTCCTTGTGCTCTTCAGCTCAAGGAGAGCGCACTACCGCTTGAGTCACAGCATCACTTCCAGTTTTCTAGCGGTTTATTGGAGATAAGAGTCTCACGAACTTTCCTGCCCAGGCTGGCTTTGAACCGCAATCCTCCTGAGTAGCTAGGATTACAGGCGTGAGCCACCAGCACCCAGCTTCAGTAAGTTAATTTGTGATCTCTGGAATTCAAGTGGTGACCCCATGCTGGAATTTATTATCATCTAAAGACCCTATATACTGTGATGCATATTTCTGCATCTCCTATAAAATAAAAATAAGAGCCAATACAAACTCTGTTGCTTAAATATACAATATTTCCTAGTTACATGGAAGGCCTATTAGAAAGAATATTGTCCTAAAAAATTACTTTTTTTCACAGAAATGGACAAAAGGTGAAAAAAGGTAACAGTGGTATTCGCTAGACACTGTGTTGAAAATGAACTATACAACTTATTGGTGGGAATGAAAGGTGAAAACTGGGAGAGAGCAAGGAAAAGGGTGACAATGTCCAAAAAGAAATGTACTCTATACCTAACTTATATAACTGTAACTCTTCTGTATATCACCTTCATTTTATTTTTATTTTTTCATTTTCTTGTAGGTCTTGTAGGTCATGGGCCTTAAACTCTGGGCCTGAGCATTGTCCCTCAGCATTTCAGCTCAAGGTGAGTGCTCTACCACTTGAGCCACAGCACCACTTCCAGTTTTCTGAGTGGTTTACTGGAGATAAGTCTCACATCCTTTCCTGCCAGGCTGGCTTTGAACCGCGATCCTCAGATCTCAGCCTCCTGAGTAGCTAAGATTATAAGTGTGAGCCACCAGTGCCCAGCTGTATATTACCTTTAATATATGTTTTTGTTTTTGTTTTGCCAGTCCTGGGGCTTGAACTCAGGGCCTGGGTACTGTCCATGACCTTGTTTTATCTCAAGGCTAGCACTCTACCACTTGAGCCACAGTACCACTTCTGGTTTTTTTTCTGGGTATGTGGTACTGAGAAATCAAACCCAGGGCTTCAAGCATTGTAGGCAAGCACTCTACCACTAAGACACATTACCAGTCCAATAACAATTTTTTTTTGGGGGGGGGTCAGTCATGGGTTGAACTCTGGGCCTGAGCGCTGTCCCTCAGCTCTTCAGCTCAAGGCTAGTTCTCTACCACTTGAGAGCTAAAGCACCACTTCTGGTTTTCTATTGGTTTATTGGAGACAAGAGTCTCATGGAGGGGCTGAAAGGTGGCTCAGTGGTTGAGTGCTTGCCTGGCATGCATGAGGCCCTGGGTTCGATTCCTCAGCACCACATAAGCAGAAAAAGCCGAAAGTGGTGCTGTGGCTGAGCTGAAGAGCTGAGAGACAGCATCCACAACCGACCAAAAAAAAAAAAAGAGTCTCATGGACTTTCTTGCCTGGGCTGGCTTTGAACCGCGATCCTCAGATCTCAGCCTCCTGAGGAGCTAGGATTACAGGCATGAGCCACCAGCGCCTAGCTTCCAATAGCAATTTTTTTTTTTTTTTGGTTGGTTGTGGGGCCTGAACTCTGGGCCTGGCCTTGTCCCTCAGCTCTTCAGCTCAAGGCTAGCACTCTACCACTTAAGCTACAACACTTCTGGCTTTTTCTGCTTATGTGATAGTGAGGAATACAGGCAAGGCAATCACTCTACCACTGAGCCACATTCCCAGCCCCCAATAACAATTTTTTTAAAAGGAAAAAAACAAACTTTTTTCCCCTCCAAGAACTGGGATTTGAACCCAATGCTGTAGGCCTGACAGGCAGATGCTCTAACACTTGATTCATGGCCCCCACATCTTTGTACTTTAGTTATTTTCAAAAGGCTCTTGGGCTGGGAAGGTGGCTCAGCGGTAGAGTGCTTGCCTTGCATGCATGAGGCCCTGGGTTCGATTCCTCAGTACCACATACGCAGAAAAAGCTGGAAATGGCGCTGTGGCTCAAGTGATAGAGCGCTTGCCTTGAGCTGAAAAGCTGAGGGACGGCACCCAGGCCCAGAGTTCAGGCCCCACGACTGACCAACAACAACAACAAAAAAGGATCTTGTGTCTTTGTCTAGAGTTAGGGTCAGACTTCAATTGCCCTACCTACCTGTGCTCCTGCAGCTGTCAAACCTAGTCTATGATTTCATGATTAAATATGAATGATGAACATACAAACATCCAAGGTGGGCTCCAATGGCTCATGCATGTACTGCTAGCTATTCAGGAGGCTGAGATGTGAAGATCACACAGTTCAAAGCCAGCCCGGGCCAGAAAGTTCATGAGTCTTATCTCCAATTAATCACAGAAAAAGCCAGAAGTGGTACTGTGGAGCACATGGTAAAGCACTAACTTGCCTTTGTCAAAGAGGCTCAGGGACAGTGCCCAGATCCAGAGTTCAAGCCCCAGGATTGGCAAAAAATAAAATAAAATAATAATAATAATAAAAAAGAAAATACAAACATCATTTTCTACCTCTGAGAGGTGAGGAAAAACTCTGAGCTAAGAACAGGGGTAGGCAAACTGGCTCACAAGCAAAATTTAGCTTAATACTGCTTTGTAATAAAGTTTTACAAGACTCAGGATGTAGTTCAATAGTAGTGATTACCTAGCATTTATGAGGTCCTGGATTTGATTCCAGCACACTACCAAAAGGGGAAAAAAATCCTATATATAGTCCATGGTCATGTTTTTTCTTTTCTTTTTAGGTAAACAAAGTAAATTTATTTGAAATTGAACAAGAAGCCATAAAAGAGTAGGGAGACTCTACATCTAGAGAGAGGCGTAAACAGAAGTCCATATGGCCATTTTTATACAATATTCAGGACAGAAACAAGTGACCCTGAAAACCTAAACCTGGCCCTTTACACAGAAGTTTGCCTACCTCTGACTTAAAAGGGTAGTATTTTAACTTGAAAATAGCTCAGTGGTAAAGTATGTGCCTAGCATGCACAAAATCCTGGGTTCAATTTCTAGTCTACAATCAAAAATAAACAAATGGGTCTGAGGATGTAGTTCAGTGGTAAAGCACTTGCCTAGCATGTGCAAGGGCCTAACCTTGCTCTCCAGAAGCATACAAATAAGTGAATATGTAAATAAACAAAAAAAGCAATTGTTTCTAAATATTATTTAACATATTCAGATATTACAGGTAACCAGCCCAAAAGACAAACTCATTAAATAAGAAACTTACGACTTTGATTGGTGACCATTTGAAGTTTTAGTAGAAGGGTTGTATCTTTCTAGAACAAAAACAATGTAGAAATGAGAAACTGAATTTAACTGTTTAGATTGCAAAATGTCTTACCACAAAGTAAGTCACAACAGATAATTCTTCAATGCTCAAAATGGTAACACATTCAAGTCCAATAATATGGCATGTGATAGAAACAAGCATGTTCACAGGCTATAAACTTATACAATCTTTTTAGAGAGCAATGTAACATTGTCAATACTGTATCTGTATTGCTACTGACATACCTTACATACGTTGTATCTGAAGGCATATTTACACATAAACACACACGAATGCTTACAACAGAATGGTTTCAATAGCAAAAACAAAGACTAGTTAAATAAAGTATGATACTTTCATATAAAAACGAGGTACTTTATACTGAAATCTAGCTTTAAAGGAAGTTCAGTGAAAGCCACAAGGTAATAAAGACTAGATGTAGCTTATGATACCATTTGCTATAGTTAGCTTTGGGGAGAGACAGTAGGAATGTGATAAGAAAAGATATTCTTAAAAGAAGAGAGAAAATGTAAATATTCTTATCTATAGCTAGCTATTCTCTGCATATCAACAACAGCTAGGTTCCTATAAATCCAGACAACAACTTTGAAAGCAAGAGAGAGGATCATAAATTTGAGGCCAGTATGGGCAAAGGTAGCAAAACCCTGTCTTAAGAACTTTTTTTTTTCTTAAGGACCAGAACTCAGTGTAAGGGGTACAACAACTGCCTAGCACGAATGTCCAAGGTCCTGGTTCAATTTGCAGCATTCCCTAAAATTCACCCCCTCCCCCCACCAAAAAAATCAACAACAAAAAAACCCAGTGTCTGTTTCCTTTTTTTCTATAATGATAGCTGAAAGATAGTACTGAAATAGATATTCAGATAAAGCTTAACATTGAAAGTTATTCTTCTAGAGCCAGGGAACTGAAATAGATATTCAGATAAAGCTTAACATTAAAAGTTATTCTTCTGGAGCTGGGTGCTGGTGGCTCAGGCCTGTAATCCTAGCCAGCCCAGGCAGGAAAAATCCGTGAGATTCTTATCTCCAATAAGCCAAGTGGCTCAAGTGGCAGAGTACCAGCCTTGAGCTAAAGAGCTGAGGGACAGCACCCAGGCCTAGAGTTCAAGCTCCATGACCTACCAAAAAAAAAAAGTTATTATTCTAGTTTTTATCTCTTTAAGATAATTAAAGGTAACTAGCAAAAGGTTTAAAAAAAAAACAACTTCCACATTTCATTTCCCAACATACGTTAAAACTGGTTTGTCTACCTTACTTAAGAGGTTATTTGCGAAATAATTGGAGTTATTTGGCAAAGTTAAGACACTGCAGTGTTTCCTGACCTTGTTAATCTTACAGATCTTTTTGGGACCACATATGAATCCCCAAAAGATATCTTCTACTCAAGTTCCTCAGAGAGATCATATGTAGAAGACAACAGGCCAGAAGATGCAGAAAAAAAAAGGGGAGGAGGCACTGATATAGGATGAGAAGAGCTATGGCCAGCCAGTGAAATGACTCAATTGTTGTCTAGAGTGCTGCTACCATAGAACCAAGTATCTACATGAAGTAAAAAGGACGGCAGCTCTTGAGCTTAAGAGGTGTCCATTAACCTGAATTAGTGAACTACCAAATAGTAGTTCAAATTATCAAAAGTTTATTTTGATTTCTAATAACCTACGTAACACTTTTTGATTCTTTAAGTAAACTAGGATTCAGCTCAGTATCACTTAGCAGGCCATAAAATTAGATTAAGATACACCAAAAAAATTATCTAAAGCAATAGAAGGCAAGGCCATGTGAATCAAATGGTCAATAAAGAGATCAACTTTGAAAAACAAGAGGAAAACAAATACTCACTTTGTTCCCCAGGGCCAAAATTGGACTGCTGAGACTCCTAAGAAAATAGAACATAAAGTTATACAAGTAAAATTAAGAGAGAAGTGTTCATTTAGTGGCAAGTGGTCTAAATTGTGCACAAATTATTCAAGTATATAAAAAGAAACTATTAAGCCACCAGATAGTCTTGCCATTATTTATTTCTTTTCAACAGCATTTATGGTATTAGTCAATACCTAATTTAGAGGTCTAAAGAATAAATTATTTCAGGTTAAGATCCTTGGTTTTAAAAATATGCTTCAGTTGAACACCAGTGGTTTATGTCTGTAATTCAAGCTACTCAGAAGGCTGAGATCTGAGAATTGCAGTTTGAAGCCAGCCTGGGTAGGAAAGTCCGTGGGATTCCTATTTCCAATTAACTAGCAAAAAGCTAGAAGTGGAGCTGTGGCTCAAGTGGTAGAGTGCTATCTTTGAGCAAAAAATCACAGGGACAGCACCCAGGCCCTGAGTTCAAGCCCCAGTAATGACACAAATAAATATATATGCTTAGCGGGGTGCCAATGGTTCACACCTGTAATCCTTACTACTCAGGAGGCTGAGATCTGAGGATGGCAGCTCAAAGCCAGCCTGGGCAAGGAAAGTCTGTGAGACTCCTATCTCCAATTAACCATCAGAAAACCGGAAGTGCCGCTGTGGTTCAAGTGGTAGAGCTGCTAGCCTTGAGCTGAAGAGCTGAGGGACAGTGCATAGGCTGAGTTCATGTCCCACAACCAACAAAAAAGAAAAAAAAGAAAGAAATATATATGTTTGGGCTCTGAGTTCAAGCCCTGGCACCAGTATAATAAAAAAAAAATCCAGGGGCTGGGAAGGTGGCTCAGTGGTACAGTGTTTGCCTTGCATGCATGAGGCCCTGGGTTCAATTCCTCAGCACCACATAAGTGGAAAAAGCTGGAAGTGGTGCTGTGGCTCAAGAGGTAGAGCACTAGCCTTGAGCTGAAGAACTGAGGGACAGCTCCCAGGCCCAGTGTTCAGGCCCCACGACCAACAAAAATAAATAAACAAATTTAAAAATCAAAAAATTTGAGGCTAGTTGAGGACCAGTGGCTCATGTCTATAATCCAAGTTACTTGAGAGGACAAGAATGGAGGTTCACAGCCAGCTCAAGCAAAAAAGTTACTGAGCCAGGCATCGGTGGCTCATGTCTATAATCCTAGCTACTCAAGAGACTGAGATGTGAGGATTATGGTTCAAAGCCAGGCCAGGTAGGAAAGTGAATGAGACTCTTATCTCAAATAACCTACTCAGAAAAAGCAGCTCAGGGACAGCATCCCCAGGACTGGCCAAAAAAAAAAAAAAAAGATTGAGATTCTTTCTCAACCCAAGGCTGGGTACAGTGGCATAAAACATCCTAAGGTACACAGAAGACTGAGATTGGCCTGTGTTTCCAGGTCAGTGCAGACAGAAAAGTCTACTAAGAGACTCCATCTCCACAGAAGGGATGCTGGAAAAGGTAGCAAGCACCAGTGATGCTAACAACAATGGGAAACCTAAAAGTATGTGAATTGCAGCACAAATAGTGGACTGACTGACTGGACTCATTTCCTAGTGAGACCTTGTCCCACTGAAAAATAGGGCCAGAAATTTGGCTAAATGGTACTTTACCAATCTAGCAAGTGTGAGGCTCTTCAAACATCTAGTACTATTCAAAAGCAAGGGAGGAAAAAGAGAGGGAGGGAGGAAGGGAGATATTTGAGCTGCAATCCTAAATTAAAACGGTAATGCTGAAAGTATCACAATATATGATCTCAACTTCAACTGCCAATCCATAGTTAACAAAAACAGCAAGATAGTGGTACAAAACCAGACATATATACCAATGGAGTAGAAGACCCAGAAATAGATCCACCCTATTAGAGCCATCAGATTTTTCAATAGGAGTAAGAAAAAAACAGCCTTTTGAACAAATGTTGTAAGCAAAAAAGGATATCCACATGTAGAAGACTGAAAGTAGAACCCTGACAAAAACCAAATTCAAATGTATCGAAGACCTTAATGTAAGACCTGGAACTCTGAAAACAACTATGAGAAAACAATGGAAGATGTAGGCATAGGCTATAACTTCCTGAATAGAACTCTAATTGCTCAAGAGATAAGAGGAAGAACTGATAAATGGGATTTCATCAAATTAAAAAGATTCCTCATGTTCAAATGAAACAATTACTGGAATAAAGAGTTGGCATAGAGAATAAGAGAAAATTTGCCAGCTATTCCCTCTACTTAGTAAAGGATTAATATACAAAATATATAAAGAGTTCAAAAATCAAACTTTAATTTAAAAAACCCAATTAATAAATGGACAAATGAATTAAACAGTTCTGAAAAGAACAAATGGCTAATAAATATGTGAAAAAAGTTTAACAACTTTAGTCATAAAGGAAATTTTTAAAAATTGAAGCAAAAGATAATGTAATCCTAGCTATTCAAGAAGCTGATAATAGAGGACTGCAGTTCAAGCCCAGCCCAGGAAAGAAAGTCCATGAGACTCTTATCTCCAACTGATCACCACTGGAGCTGTGGCTCAAGTGGTAGAGCACTAGCCTGGAGCTGAATTGCTGAGGGACAGTACCCAGGCCCAGAGCTTAGGCCCCACAACCACACAAAAAAAAAAGATAAATAAATAGTGACACCTGCCTGTAATCTCAGCACTTGGAAAACTAAGGCAGGAGGAATGAGAGTTCAAGGTCAGTCTCAGGGAATACATGGCAACACCCTACCTCAAACCACAGAAACCACAAAACATAAAAAATTAACTAAAACCACAGAGAAAGAAAAATAAGAACATATGTTTATGACTCTGAGAAGACATTAAAAAGCAAACATTAAAAAAGTAAAGCCAAGCAGGGTGCTGGTGGCTCACGCCTGTAATCCTAGCTACTCAGGAGCCTGAGATCTGAGGATCATGGTTTAAAGCCGGCCCAGGAAGGTTGATCCCCAGGAAGGTAGATCCGTGAAACTCTTATCTCCATGAACCACCAGAAAACCAGGACTGGTGCTGTGGCTCAATTGGTAGAGTGCTCACCTTGAGCTGAAGAGCTCAGGGACAGTGCCCAAGCCCAGAGTTCAAGACAGACAGACACACACACAGACACACACACACAGACACACACACACACACACACACACACACATGTAAAATATTTAAACCATGAAACTAAAACACAAATCTAATTGGGAGATATGTTTAAAATGTTGTTTATTAAAATAGGTAATTCAGCCGGGCGCTGGTGGCTCATGACTGTAATCCTAGCTACTCAGGAAGCTGAGATCCGAGGATCATGGTTCAAAAGCCAGCAGCACAGGCAGGAAAGTTTGTGAAATTCTTATCTCCAACAAACCACCTGAAAACTGGAAGTGGCGTTGTAGCTCAAGTGGTAGAGCACTAGCCTTGAGCTGAAAAGCTGAGGGACAGTGCTCAGGCCCAGAGTTCAAGCCTCATGACCGACAAAAATAAAATAAAAATAGAATAAGGAATTCAAACAAAACAAAAGTAATAAAGAAATGAAAAAGACAACCTCCTGAAACTCAATAGATTAAAGATACCACCTATAGAATAGCAAGAATAAGTCAGGTACCGGTGGCTCATGCTTATAATCCCAGTAGGCTAAGATCTGAGGATCAGATCAGTTCAAGGCCAGCCTAGACATGAATCTTAATCTTCAATTAACCACCAAAAAACCAGCAGTTGTGCTGTGGCTCCAAGTGGTAGAGTGCTAGCCTTTAGCAAAAGAGTTCAAGGAAGCTGGGTGCCAGTGGCTCATGGCTGTGATCCTAGTTAGTCAGGAGGCTGAGAATCTGAGGATCTCAGTTCCAAGCCAGCCCGGGCAGGAAAGTCCTTGAGACTCTAATCTCCAATAAACCACCAGAAAACCAGGAGTGGCACTGTGGCTCAAATGGTAGAGTGCTTGCCTTGAACTGAGGGACAGCACCCAGGCCCAGGGTTCAAGCCCCATGACTGATCAAAAAAAAAAAAAACAACTCAGGGACAGTACCAAGGGCCTGAGTTCAAGTCCCATGACCAATACCCCTTTCCCTCCAAAAAAAAATAGCAAGAATAGGGGAATTCATCCACAAAGAAATCAAAAGCATGAGCTTTAAGATGAGGAGCTTCACTAGCAATCTAGCAAATGAAATGCAATTCCTCACTAAAAAGATTGGTACTTAATAGTACCATATACTGGTATGCAGTACCATATACTGGTATGCATGTAAGGAATAATAGGTATTAAAAGAGTAAAGACTGTTACAAATCTGTGACAACAATCAGAGTGTATAATGATACATACTCCTTAATCCCCAAAATTCTGTCTTATTTTACATCTTAAATAATATATAAGAAGACACAAAAAAGTTACTAAAGAAATGTTCACAGAAATGAAAACATATTAACAAGTTAAATACCAATGAGAAATGAGCAAATAAACTGGGATATATTTATACTTTGAATAAAGTTAAAATCTTATATGTAATAATATGGAAAGTTTCCTAAGGCTATTGCTCACAATGATATCTAACAATATATCTGAATAGAAGAAAATAAGGAAATGCTTGTATGTAATGATTTCACACACATAATTACATATAAATGTATCTAAATTCATATAAAAGACTTGCAAAAGTACACATGAAAGCAGCTTTGGTGAGATGGAGGAGAACAAGAATGAGGGAAAGGCTATTACTAGGAGCCATGGTCAAACTCTCACAAGGAGAATTCATTTGTGTATTCTGTGTCTGAGTATAAATTTAATCTGCAAATCTTGGGATTGGGTGGGAACTGTTATATTACTCATGGAACTTCTTTCTACAGTATAGTTTTTAAGATCTACATAAAGGGGTTCATTAAAAATAATGGTTTGAGAAGCCCTAACCATCTCTGGCCTAGAAAACTGTAATAGTTTGGAATAAATATCAATGTCTCTCCCCCTATATTGCCTGCCAAGCTTTCTTAAATAAAATACCTCAGGCCACGATGCCCTCACTTCCATTACCCTGTTTAAATTTCTTCATAGCAATGTTCACTTTCTGAACTTAATTATTGTGTATTTTCCATCAGAATGGGAATGCAAGCCAATTTTGAACTTACATGATTTTAGGTGAGCCATTTAGTGTTTTCTTATATTATTAAAGATAGAGTTTATTTACTTACCTTAGTTGGAAAAGGAAATTTGGAAGGCTCTGTTTTGCATGGTGTATGAATAGCCGTTAGAGGGGGAGGCCATGAATGCGTCATCTCCTGAAATGTAATTATTACAGTTTGTTTTCAACCAGGTCAAGGATTAAAAACTGTATCGCTAAAAACCAGATTTGTACTTATAAATGCTGGTTTTGTGATTGCTCTTTAAAGTTATACATATTTAAGTCAATAAATACTGATGAAGCACAACTGTGTGCAAGGCACTATGGGGCTGTTAATAGGAGGGTAAATAATAAATGCTTATTTCCTGCAAGGAATTTGCAGTTAGGATAAACTCTGAAGAGTGATAGAAATGGGCCTGTATCAAATACAAGGCACATAATAAAATACTACTAAAGAGAGTTTGTTGTGGGAATCAATGGAAGCATGGGGCTAACAGCTAACATTTACTTTACCTTTAATTGACCCACAGTGTGCTGTTTTGCTTGTCTGTTACTCACTTCTTACAATGCTATTATGATACAGATAAGTGTAGCTCTATGAAGAAATAAATCAATCCAAGTATAAAGATTACTTACTTAACACTATATATTTACTAAGTAATGGACACACAGAATTTTATAGTAAGAAATCTGACGACATAACCCATGAGCTGAGAGGAAAATACGGTCACATGGGAAAACCAGAAAAGGGACTCCAGAAGCACATAAGAAGGAAAGCAGACAAGCAAAACCCTAAGTATGATTTTATTCAATGTCTTCTAATTATGCTAAATATGTCCAAGTGAGGTTTGAATAAGATTAAAAAAGTATATATTAGCAGGGGAGAGAATGATGAAAGACTTATAATAAGGAGGGAATGTTTTGTTAAAGGTGGTAGCTTATCTAGGAATTTATCCTATAGCTACAACCACACAATTAGGACACACATTTCAGGCTCACATTTGAAAAATGGGGACGGAGGAGGAGGTAGGAGGTGCGGGGAGAACAGGTATCCAACAGTACAGTGTTAATTAGCAGACATCCATACAATGAAACACCAAACAGACATTAAAATGAAAATTTGAACTGATATGAAATGATATCTACAGTATACTGTTAAGTAACTAACATAAATAATAATCTATGTCCTAGTAAATGTATATAGTCTCTGGGGGGACTGACTATCTTTGGGCAACAGAATGAGAAAAGAGGGCAGAAACAGGACACTTGATATAGTCTCTACTAGAATCTCTTAAAATAGTCACTCACATATTCTTTATCCAATGCTCTTACTATTTCTTACATCCAGCTCTAGAAGGTCAGCTCAAAGCATGCAACTATCATCATTACCATCACTGTATCCCCAGTGCTTGACATGTAACAGGGTGCTGAATTAGCATGCTTTTAATTGGTAAATTGAAAATTCCCATAAATATGTACCAGTTTCAAATTAAAATTTTCATCATGGGATGTCTAGAACTACAAATTGTTTAAAGGGAAAAAAAATCTGAAGAAAAACATGAAGAAGCAGCCAGGTGTTGGTGGGGGCTCATGCCTGAAGGCCTAGCTGATACCCGAGGATCACAGCCAGTCCTGGCAACAAAGTTACAAGACACTTATCTTCCATTCACCACCAGAAAACCCAACGTGGTGCTTGGCTTAAAGTGGTAGAGCACTAGGCTTGAGCAAAAGAACTCAGGGCTAGCACCCAATTTCAGAGTTCAAGTGGCATAAATGACCAAAAAAAAGATGAAGAGAAATAGACTTGTAGTTCCTGGCACACCACAGATAGGGAAGGAAAAAGGAAACAGAAACCAATATACCTTGGGTTTTGGTATTAACATTTTATATCGGAAATATTAGAATACTCTCAGTTGATAATTTATCACCAAATGACTCTGCACCTAAAACAGGCCTTGTGTCAAGCCCTGTATTTATAAAATACAGAAAAATTATAAGATCAAAGACATAATTAAATACAAGAATATCTTCTAGGTACTAAAATTCTGTGCATTACTGAGGATTCAGGGGAAAGACTTCTTAGACTTCATATACATGCACCTAAAATTACAGGTTGCGTATTCAAAGGAAGAGTTATTAATATGTCTCCTACAGGGGGAAGGCTTTTATTTGGTGTCTAAGGAAAATAATTTAAAAGAAGAAACTGAAGAACAAGAAGAAACATTCCAAGGAAACTTACTTAAGGAAGTAAAAGAACAAGAAAATGTGTATGGCTTTATGAAACCAGCTTGGCAAAAGTGGTCCATCAGCAGGAAGAAGGCTTAGGACTGGCCTGTGGAAGGTCTACGTGTTAAATTTGGACACCATTCTTTCTTAGAATAGTGGTCTTAGGGTGTTACTAAAACATGCTAAGAAAAAAAAAGTTCTGAAGACAGGGACTGAAGAATCTGAAAACAATGTAGAAAACACATGAGCCAAGAGAGTCTACAAACAGAAAGTGAAGACTCTTCTAAGTACTAAAGCTCAAGGTGACTGAAATGGAAAGCAAGGAATGGGAATTTCAAAGTCCACATCTAGTTTTGTGATGAAATATAACATGAGGAAGAAACAAGACATAATGAGAATTCTACACTTAACTCGTGGGGCATGACACTACTAATAGAAAAATCTATTTCAATATGGCTTCTGACATGTTGAGTCAAAAGAAGCAAAGAGAAATTAAAATAAAAACCCAGGAAAGAAGCAATTAAGAGACAAAAACCAAGACCCAAAAGAGACCAAGGCAACAGAGAAATACTGAATAGCCATCTAACAAATAAAGCCAAAGATGGTAGAAAAGGTATTGCCAAAGCACAGAAAGAAAAGGGCAGAGGCAAACAGAATGCACTCCTACTTAAGAGAAGTCACAGGATTACAAAAAGGCAGACAGAAAGACAGGAAAAGCAGATGGACATAAAAACAATGGAGCATAACAACAGTCATTCCTACTTCAACATATTTCCAACAGGAAAAATCAAGTATAAAACAGCAGGCAGTTACAAAACAAGCCAAACAAGCAAACAAAAGGAGTCAAATTAAACTGCTAGATGAAGAAAAAATAATGCCTTAGAGAAACAAGTTCAACAAAATGGTAGCGATAAAAGATTTTAGCACGCTAAAGGAAGGAAGGGGAAAGCAAAACGATGAGAGAATTAAAAAGCAGGTAGTCACAAGGGAATTCATAGCGAAATACAGTACAAACAAAACAATTCAGGAGCTCACCAAAAATTGTGACAGATACTTTTCTCCTAATAACAAAATGAAGTCAATGCAACTCACTAATTCATTAGACTTTGTCTTTTTCCAATAGAAAAATGTTCTTTTTTTGTCATGCATATTGTAAATGTATCCAATGAAGACTCAAAATGTAAGTACTCAAATTATTGTACAGTTTGGCCACCAAGTACAAATTATGAAGCAAGCTATTTTTGACATAATCATTTGACTAGTAACTGTTGAGCTTCTTTAGCACTTCAGATTATTAAATGGTTCAGTCTGAGGAAGTGCAGTTATATTTGATATCTTCCTCTTTTCAAAGCGAATTGTCAAGACTAGAATTTGTTTTACTTAAAAACAAAGCCAAATCTCTGAAGGCAAATATACAAACCATGGGATTTACAAGTTAAGGAAAACAACTATTTGTATTTAATACACACATAAACAATGTTTTGCTTTAGATCTTTTGTGAAGCACATGTGTAAGAAGGATAATGTTTTTTCAGAAAACCAAACAATATTTACTGCTTACAGTAGTAAAGGACAACAAATAATATACAAATTGGTGAATAAAACACAATAGAGCCAATGAACACCCCGCCTGAGCCTCACAGCAAAACAAACGAAACAAACACTATCCGCAAGATTTCAAGCAAGCAAAAGATGGTAGGTCATTTTCAGGTGACTATAAAAGGCAGAGAATGGCCAGAAAGCAGCAATGGATCCAAGAAGGGTAATTATGATGCTTAAGCATCATAAATAAAAACACCGAAATTATTCTTTTAACACTTACTTTAAGAATTTCATCCACACAGCTCACATCACCAGAAGCTGATGATGCCTTAAGAAAGAGGGGAGGGGAAAAAGCCCACATTAGAGTTGGAGTAGCTTATTAGACTTTTAGTATTACACAGTTGTACAAAACACAACTATCCTTAAGTCTTTTCTCCCATCACTTGAGCTATGAGCTATGATTTTTGGCTATTGCTATTACTTCTTAATTTTGTTATTGCACAAATTATAAAAGATAAAATTTAAAGAAGTATTTATGATAACACTACTCTAAATCAGAATACTACTTAGAATATTTGGACTGGTTTCCCTAAACATAATTTTTTTTTAAGTACTAAAAAATCTAAATCACCAAACCACACAGCCCTGGAAACATTTCCATTTGTCTTTTAAATTTTTTTTTACATTTATTATACCTAAATTTAATATTTTAATATAATTTTCAGGTGAGCAGCTTATAAAAAATTCACAAGTTTAATCATATACAAAATCTATCAAGATACTGTTACCATTTCACATTAACAAGCAGGGTAATATGAGCATTACTGAAAAGATGACTGATTTTTTTTTAACACAACAGACATTTTACAGTCTTTCTTAAATCACAGAAGGTAAAGTCCTATTTTAAGGCACACATAGGAATCAGAAAGCTTAAGTCTTACCCTTAAGATGTTACTGTTTAAAGAAAGAACAAATTACCATTTACTGTTCTCTGGGGAGTAATTAGATGATAAACATAACAGTTTCCTAAGGCCACAGGAAGGATACTTAAATGTTCTCAAAACAGTAGTTTAAATATCCTTCAGTCCTTTTTCCCATCACTTGAGCTATGATTTTTGGTTACTGATATTACTTTTTAATTTTTTATTGCACAACCTATATCAAAAGATAAAATTCCATGTATCAATGTAATGTCACAATTAAATCCATAATTTTGCTAATTTAAAAAAGATTACGGTATAAATTACTTCATAATAAGTGCTCACTTCTTTGGCTATTTTCAATGCTATGTTTAAAAGTATGTTTTACATGTACTTTTACAACTGTCTCAATCCTTTAAATGTAATCAGAGAAAAGAATGATAGCATCCAAACTACCATCTCCAAAGACTCAAATGTCCCCCCATTTACCACATGAACCACGACTTGTATCTTACTCATGAATATTACTATAAGAACAAATAACTTAATTTTTTTTTTGGGTCCGGTCGTGGGGCCTGAACTCTGGGCCTGGGCGCTGTCCCTCAGCTCTTCAGCTCAAGGCTAGCGCTCTACCACTTGAGCCACAGCGCCACTTCCGGCTTTTTTCTTTTTGCTTATGTGGTACTAAGGAATTGAACCCAGGGCCTCAGGCATGCAAGGCAAGAAGTGCTCTACCACTGAGCCACCTTCCCAGACCCTTAATTTTCTTTTTAAACAAAAGAAAACAAGGTATATTATTCTTTATAGAATCAATATATGTGTGTATATATACACTTTTTTATTTATTTATTTTTGGTTGGTCGTAGGGCCTGAACTCTGGGCCTGGTTGTCCCTCAGCTCTTCAGCTCAAGGCTAGCACTCTACCACTTGAGCCACAGTGCCACTTCTGGCTTTTTCTGGCTTGTGGTGCTGAGGAATCGAACCCAGGGCCTTATGCATGCAAGACAAGCACTCTACCATGGAGCTACCTTCCCAGCCCCTCAATATATTCTTTATAGACTCAATAGTGGGAAACCCAAGATATTGGTGGATCACACTTTTTTATTTATAATGGATCTGTCATCTGAATAACTGAAAACCATCAATGACTTTTAGCCTTTCCCTGAGAGGGGAAGTTTACAATTCTATGGAGACACTTAGGAGTCAACTCACAGGTTTCCTTTAAACTTTTTTTTTTCTCTACCTTTAAACCTTATACTCCTTACTATTAAGGGAAAAAGGCGGTTCCAAGTTTACTCAAAATTTCATGGCCAATTATTTCACACAGTCACAATGTTAAAAAGGTCTAAATGTGTGACTTACATCCAGTGGCTGGGAAGGTATTTTCAGCTTGGTGAGATGTGCTTTGCTGCTGGACTTCAGCTCAGTCATGCTGTTGCCATGGGACTGGCTGCTGTAGTGCTCAGAGGACAGCTTGGGTTCCATGGACTCCTGTCCATCCATGGGACGAACATAAGCAGTGGGTTTCTGTAACATCGAACTGGACTTTGACATCAACGACGGTGGGAAAGACTGATTTGAGTGCTGCCCACTTGAAAAGGGTACACGGGAAGGAGAATCCCAGTTGGCATCAGGGTCCCGAGGAGACTTGGAACGCTGATGTTCCTTGCTATGGTGATCATTCCCATGAGACCTGGAATGACTAGAGCTTAGTGAAGAAACTGCCTGGGTTTTCCCAGGACTTGAAGATCGTGATTTGGAGTGTTCTGATCCATGCTGGCCTTTCTTCCGGCTACTGCTGTATGAGTCACGGTCATGCCTCTGACCGCCACTATTAGTGCTGCTGCTACCACCTGCACTGGCACGCTGGCTACTGTGTCCACTCTGTAAGCCTGAAGACCGTTTCTGAGACTGAGAAGTGCTGGGTGCAGGTCCTACCGGAGTCCATTTACTACTCTGATGAGAACTTCCATGTCTCTGTTCAAAGAAATTTGGGTTTGATTTCTCATCTCCTGTTGGTGGTACTGTAGGCTTGGGAATTGCAACAAGCTTTGGTATAGATCTGTCTCCTATGAAATCCTTCATTTCATCGTAGTTTCCAAGCATACTCTGAATACGACTTGATAATTTATCTTCTTTGCTAGTCTACAAAAAATATAAGATAAAATTATATTAGCATAATCTGAAATAAAATATACTTCTAAAGCTGATTTTCTTAACTTTTTTTTTTTTTTTTTTTGATGGTCGTGGGGCTTGAATTTTGGGCCTGGGCGCTGTCCCTCAGCTCTTCAGCTCAAGGCTAGGGCTCTACCACTTTGAACTACAGCGCCACTTCTGGTTTTCTGGTAGCTTACTGGAGATAAGAGTTTCACAGACTTTCTTGCCCAGGCTGGCTTTGAACCATGATCCTCAGATCTCAGCCTCCTGAGTAGCTAGGATTACAGGTGTGAGCCACTGGCACCCGGCTGATTTTCTAACTTTCAAATGGAAAAGACCTTTCCAAAGTGAGGCTTCATTTACCTCACATCCTAAAGTTAACATTTAGAAACAAACTTCAAATGTGTGTCTATGTGCTTGTCTTTTGTTGTTGTTGGTTGTGATGGTTCTGGGACTGAACCCAGGGCGTCTCTCACATGCTAGATGAATGCTCTACCACTGAGTACACTCCCAGCGCTCAAATACATGATTTTCACAATGAAAGAAAATTTGTGTCTGAAAATAACCATGCTAAAACACAAATACTCTGTAGGACACAGAGAAATATATAAAGTGAATTTAAGAGAAAAAAAATGAGTAAAACAATTTTCTTAAACCAGTAAACATATAGGAACAGCAGAAAAAAAAGGGGGCTTTTGAGAAACAGTAAAGGAATCTGCCCTTATATGATTAAGTTCCAGGCCAGCAGATTAGCCAACATTCACGTTTTAGTAACTGATGTAAATAAACATTTCACACCTTCTAAGTCAATGTTAACAGTTAGGAGCAGAAACAAAAATGTAGTGAAACCAAGCAATATACAGTCATCTTGAAAAAAAATCAATTCCTTCTGTTCATATGATTCATCCGTTAAGTCAGAAACTACCAGGAGTGGCAGTGTAGGTCAGCATATGTAAATTCCAGGTCTTAATCAGTACGATTAAGACATTAGAATTTGAGAATAGCCTCAGCAAGTTCAAGACTAGCTTGAGTTACATAGTGAGAACCTGTCTCAAAAAAACTTAAAAAAAAAAAGCCAAACAATAAATTAAGCCTCAAAAATTCATTGATAAAGTTTAAACCTGGCTATTAATTAAACCAACAAATTATTAAAATTTTAAATCAATGAGTTAAGTTTCAAATCAGGATAATGAGGAGGTCCAATATATCTATTAACTGTAAGACTTTCATTCATATATATGGAAGAAAGCTTTTTATATGTTTATATTAAAAAGCTTTTTATATGTTTATATTAAAAAGCTTTTTATATGTTTATATTAAAAAGAAATCAAGAGCCAGGCCCTGGTAGCTCACACCAGTAATCCTAGCTATTCAGGAGGCTGAAATCTAAGGATTAAGTCCGTGAGACTCTTATTTCTAATTAACCACCAAAAAACTGAAGTGGTGCTGTGGCTCAAAATGGCAGAGTGCTAGCCTTGAGTGAAAAAGCTCAGGTACAGCACACAGGCCCTGAGTTCAAGCCCCATGACTAACAAAAGAAAAAAAAGAAAGAAAAAAATTAAGAATAAACTACCCCTATTTATTTTAGGATCTGCAAATAAAGCCTTTTGGTTGTTTGAAAATCTGTTTGATCTTATTAAACAGGACAGGCAAATATATAGCTACTTATAGGTAACAACAGGATTAGAAAACAAATCAAATTCATTAATTGCAAAATAAATGGTAGCATGATGCAAAAATTCTGGAGAAAATTTGATTTTTTTCAATATACTTTTAATCTCTACTTTAATCCCTAATCCATGGTGTTACATTCACATACACTATGTCAGCAATCATAAATGGTTTCTATAAGCATCAGACTTTATGGGATAACTGAGAATACATTGCTACTTTTAATATTTCATCAGAAAGAAAGTCTAATAATCAATTTTATACTTATAGCTATAATACATAGTATATTATCTATTACACATGATATATACCTTTAAAATATTAAGAAGAGCTGAAATGAAATCCAAAGCCAAATTAAAAGTCAGAAAAACATCTTTTGCCACTAAAGCTAAAAGTTATGAAAGGTAGTACTTTTTGGTGGACATTATAATTTCAAATAAAGTAAAATGATAGTAATAAAAACAGCAATTGGTCGGGTGCTGGTGGCTCACACCTGTAATCCTAGCTACTCGGGTGGCTGAGATCTGAGGATTACGGTTCAAAGCCAGCCCAGGCAGGAAAGGCCATTGAGACTCTTATCTCCAATAAACCACCAGAAAACCATTAGTGGCAATGTGGCTCAAGTGGTAGAGCACTACCGTGAGCTGAAATGTTGAGGGGCAGTGCCCACGCCCAGAGTTCAAGCCCCACGACTGACAAAACAAAACAAAAAAACAGCAATTGATCTAGGTACCAGATGTTCATGCCTAGCTTATTCAGGAGGTCTGAGGATAACAGTTTGAAACTAGCCTAAACAGACAAATTATCTCCAATTAACCAGCAAAAAGCCTGAAGTGGAAATATATAGCTGCAGTGGTAGAGACCCAGCTAAGTGAAAGAGCTGAGTGAGAATGGGAGGCACTGAGTTCAAGCCCAAGTATTGGCACTAAAAAACAAACCAAAAGGGCTGGGAAGGTGGCTCAGTGGTAGAGCGCTTGCCTTGCATGCATGAGGACTTGGGTTCGATTCCTCAGCACCACATAAGCAAAAAGAAAAAGCTGGAAGTGGCACTGTGGCTCAAGTGGTAGAGTGCTAGCCTTGAGCTGAAGAGCTGAGGGACAGCACCCAGGCCCAGAGTTCAGGTCCAACGACTGGACCTAAAAAAAAAAAAAAAAAAAGCCTAGTAATTGACTTAACTTACCATTTCTGATAATATGCTAATGTAACTCTGGACAGTTAAGCACTGAATATATTAGAAAATCAAGAATATTTATGGGGCTGGGAATGTGGTTTAGTGGTAGAGAGCTTGCCTATCATGCATGAAGCCTGGGTTCCTCAGTACCTCATAAACAGAAAGAGCTGGAAGTGGTGCTGTGCCTCAAGTGCTGGAGTGTTAGCCTTGAGCAAAAGAAGCTCAGGGCCAGTGCCCAGGCCCTGAGCTCAAGTCCCGGAATTCGCACAAAAAGAGAGAGAAAGAGAGATGGGGGGAGGGGGAGGGGAGGATGGGAAAGGATGGGAAGAGGAAACAAAGGAGGAGGCTACAATGCTTGATAAGAAATGTACTCATGGGCTGGGAAGGTGGCTCAGTGGTAGAGCGATTGCCTTTCATGCATGAGGCCCTGGGTTCAATTCCTCAGCACCACATAAGCAAAAAGAAAAAAGCTGGAAGTGGCTTTGTGGCTCAAGTGGTAGAGCGCTAGCCTTGAGCTGAAGAGCTGAGGGACAGCGCCCAGGCCCAGAGTTCAGGCCCCACAACTGGACCAAAAAAAAAAAAACAAAGAAATGTACTCATTATCTTGCCCATGTAATTGTAACTGTACAGTATTTTCACAATAAAAAGAGAGAGAGAGAGAGAGAGAGAATTCAGGTCTATGATAATAAAAAAAGAACCAAACATACTGATAACCCATTTATCCAAACACACTAATAGTCAATGAAACGTAGTAAATTAAATAGAATGGCATGAAGTAGGGGGAAACAAAATGATCTATAAAAATCATCATTTTTATTTTTTGGTCTGTTGTGGGGCTTGAACTCTGGGCTGGGGTGCTGTCCCTCAGCTATTCAGTTCAAGACCAGCGTACTACCATTTGAGCCACAGTGCCACTTCTGGTTTCCTGGTGGTTAACTGAAGATAAAGAGTCTCACAGATTTTCCTGCCCAGGCTAGCATTGAACTTCAATCCTCAGATCTCAGCCTTCTGAGTAGCTAGGATTAAAGGTATGTGCCAACAGTGTCTGCCCACATTTTTAAAGAATATAGGACAGCAATGAGATGGGAATTCAAGGACATCTAGTGTTTAATACTCTTTTTATCTGATATGAACACTGATTATCTAAGGTGGTTTGTGTGGTAAAAATTCTTCAAGCCATAACACATTTTATATACTTTCCCATATGTATTTCATTACTACTGAAAAAAAAAGTATGTTCCATTTACAAAAAAAAAGAAAGAAAGAAAGCAAATGTTTTTGTTTTGTTTTGTTGTTGGTCGTGGGGCCTGAACTCTGGGCCTGGGTGCTGTCCCTCAGCTCTTCAGCTCAAGGCTAGCGCTCTACCACTTGAGCCACAGCGCCACTTCCGGCTTTTTTCTTTTTGCTTACGTGGTGATGAGGAATCAAACCCAGGGCGGGACTCAGGCATGCAGGGCAAGCGCTCTACCATTGAGCCACCTTCTCAGCCCAAGCAAATGGTTTTTATAATAAATTTCTAACATTAAAAATCGTTAAAAAAATTTTTTTTGCCATTCCTGGGACTTGAACTCAGGACCTGGGCACTGTTCCTGAGCTTCTTTTGCTCAAGGCATGCAAGATAAGCGCTCTACCGCTAAGCCACATTCCCAGCCCAAGTTTAAAACGTTTTAAAAGTAAAAGGGTTACATAGATGGGGAAAAAAGTTTCAAACTTACAACTTTGTATGGCTCAGCAAATAGAGGGGAACTGGGTGGGAAGGCGTCTTCACCCTGCTGAATTTCCTGATTCCGCCTTTCCCGTTCTTTCATGCGCAGCACATTCCGGTCCTCACGGTTCATGTTGCTATGAGGAGAAACACAATTTTTACATAAAATAAGAAGAAAAATTAAATCCTCTGTACATATTTTGTCAGTTGAATACTCCAATTGGAGATGTTCTTTTAACTTACAAATAACAACAGGCATAGGTACTCAAGGTGGGATTTTTTAATAGGTTTATCAACTATTATCATAGCATCTTCTACAAATAGCCAGGGAGGGGACACTATTCCAGAATATTAGCACTCACTCCTCTATGTAGATAACATTCTTTAAAAAATGCTGTACTAGGAATTGAACCCAGATTCTCACACATAATAAGGCTAGCCCAAACTTACCATCTTTGAAGTATTTTGCTAGTTGTCAGTGAAAACTTGTATATTTAGAGGAAAGATACTAGTTGAGCTTCAATCATCAATATTTCCTGTAAGTTTTTCATGGCTTTCACTTCAAAAATCTAACTACCCTTTGCCCTTAGAGATATACAACCCACTCCAACCTACCACCCACTTCCCTGGGGCCAGCTCTTTCTCTACTTCACATCTACCTTATCTTGATTTCTTTTTGTCCCAAACACAGCTTCTTTGGTGTCCATCCTTATGGCAGTTTGACCTCAGCTTTGCTGTTGCTCTAGATTCCCTAAAAAACGACATTCTGCTCTAAATATATTAATATTACAATAAGCACCTCAATAAATGGCAAAACTAAAGATTTGAGTGATAGAATCTAAAACTAGCAATTGGTTAATAATTATAATTCAAAATTGTATTACCAAAAAAAAGTCTTGACAGGAGAAAAATGGGAATGGAATTTCTACTATCACCATAGTATGTTTATTTTCACTAGAACAAACCAAGGGCCACAGCTTATTTATAGCAGCAAAGGTTACAGAGACAAAGATGGAAAAAGTATCAAACTCTGAGGTAAGAGGTTACCACAGCTTTTGACACATCGTTTTTCTTTTTTTTTTTTTTTTTGGGGTCTGGTCGTGGGGCCTGAACTCTGGGCCTGGGCGCTCTCCCTCAGCTCTTCAGCTCAAGGCTAGCGCTCTACCACTTGAGCCACAGCGCCACTTCCGGCTTTTTTCTTTTTGCTTATGTGG